AAAAAAAGAAGATAGATAGGTAGGTAGGTAGGTAGGTAGGTAGGTAGATAGATAGATAGATAATGAGCAGACAGAGATAGATAGATAGATAGATAGATAGATAGATAGATAGATAGATAGATAGATAGATAGATAATGAGCAGACAGTGATAGATAGATAGATAGATAGATAGATAGATAGATAGATAGATAGATAGATAGATAGATTTGTACAGTCTTTTAAATTGAGAGGAAGACCACAATGAATGAAACCGACGTCAGCCAATTGAGACAGAAAGCAAACAAGGAAGAAACTAGGCTAGCTTGCTGAATAGGTACCATCTCATTGATATTGTTAGCCCTCAACACAATGAGATATAAATAAATATCTAAAGATGTGATTTGTACTTTGTGAAAGAGATCAAAGAAACAGTATTATGATGTTTTCAGTCTAGTATTTAGCAGAAGAAAAGACGAAAGTAACTACGGCTCAAAAATTAATAATAATGGCTGACAATGCCTCATCTAATAAAAAAATAAAGATGAAAGTAAATACGTGGCAAAAATGAACAATAATGTTCGACAATACTTCATCTAATAAAAATAATTTAAAGTTGAAAAAAGTGTTTTATTAATAAAATAAATTTAAAACAAAAAATATCGATTCGAGGAAATATTGAAAAAAATTAATCGATTAAAAAGATATCTTGATGTCTGAAAGTAAGTAGGTGTCGATTCATTCTTTTATTTATTTTTGGTTTAATATAGAAATGCTGCGTTTAAAATTATGTTCGTCTTATTTAGTTTTCGCACGACCGCACGTTGAAAGCGCTTTTCCAGGACAGAAAAAAAACTGGTGTTATATATATATATATATATATATATATATATATATAGAGAGAGAGAGAGAGAGATAATGATCATATGAATATATATATATCTCCCAGTCCCGACACACGCGGACTATTGGCTCATACCAGCCCAGTATCGTTCATATGCAAACAGTCAGCGCCACCTACTCTAAGTAGGTGGTCTTTTCTCAACAGCCCATTGTGAAAAGGGACTTAACTCTTGGTACTTACTGCACCACAACTCGGAGACTTATCGGGCTGACCCGATTGTCTGTTACAAAAATGCCTCGGGAATATTAAAATTCGGCCAAATAATAATGTTAACGTTAGCTTGACCCGGATAATATCGAGTAATCTTGAAATTAATTCCGATTCGAATTATGTTCATAACATTGTGATTCATCGCAAAGTCCCGATCTCTCTCTCTCTCTCTCTCTCTTTATCTTTTTATGCGTATGTGGATTTCAGACAGTGTTCTTGCGCAGGTATGGCTCTCCACTGCTTCCTGTCTTTTGCTAATGCTCAGTAATACTTTGACCTCGATGATTCTCCTTTCTGTCTAGAGATTTTTTCTCTTTTCATTTGCTTAAATCCGTTAAACAAGTTTATCGCTATTCTGCTTCTATGTGGGTGTATAGTTCTCCAAGCCTTCTTTCTCCATTATCTGGGGCTTACTGAAGTTAAGCAACGGCGAGTCTAGACAGACCCTAGATGGGTGACCGCTTTACTGCTGTAAACTTGGATGTGCATGTGGTGTAATGGATTCTTCTTTTTTTATACTTTATTTCCCTTCAAAACGTAATGATCATGGCTCTCCACATCTTCATCTCCCTTGTAATTCTTAATAAGTTTTTTCTTTTTACTATTTCTCCCAAATCCTGTCCTACCATCCATTTGCTAAACCCATTAAGTATCTTACGCGCTGCTTTTATCTGTCCCTCTTTCTCTCAATCTGTCCTGTGAGTATCAGATTTTCCAAGCCATCCTTCCTCATTACGTGCTCCAGAAATTTCAACTGCCTGTTCCTGGTGTTAAGTATAAGTTTCCTTTTTGTTTCCATTTTCTCCAAAACCTCGTCGTTGTTCATATGTTTGGTCCATGGTTATCTTCAGAATCCTGCTATATAACCAACGTTTCTGTTGCTTCAAGTCTCTTCTTCATCTTTGAGGAGAATGCGCACCACTCACTGCCATGGAGGAGAAGTGATATTACGTAATAGTTCAATACTCTTTTCTTTGTTTCTTACCAAAGTTTTCTGTTTGATTTGGTTTGTTTTGTTTTACGGCATATCAACCTCAATGGTTTATTTAATGCCGACAAGATTTTTATTGCTTGTAATTTTTTTTTTTAAATGTATAACTGGTAATTTTTCGACACTTTTTTTTTGTGGTGACGGACATATTAATTTCGAAATTCTTGATGAAAACATGCTCCAAACGAACTGAAAACATAGTTTTATCGTCAAAATTTTTGTTATTATTAAAAGGATCAAAGTATTTTTGAATATTTAATTTTTTTTTTTTTACTCTTTTTTAGAACAGTTGAAATTTTGATTAAAAATTTGTTTTTCTTGCGTTGGCGGTTGTGCTAACTTTTAGCATAGTAAATTTTCGTATCTTTTTTGAAGTGACGGACATGAATTTGGAAATTCTTGCAAAACTCGACATCTCCAGTTGCCTTGATCTATCCACTACCCTTCTCCTCATCCTTTCTTCTATCACTCCTATCTGATCTTGCTCCAAATTTTCTGTAACCCCTTGCGTCCTAGTGGCTTCCCGCCTTGCTTGGACTGAAACGCTTAAAAAAAAAATCAAATAATTCTCGAAGTTTAATGAAGTTTTCAGGACTTATTTACAAATGAATGAAATTATTTTTGAATTTTTTTTTATTAGAAAATCTTGGTAAAAATATTTTTTTATCTTAAATGTGTTTCTCCCCATTTACTTAATTTTATGAAAGCTTCAGAAATTCATCGACATAATTTGTAGGAATTATATTAGTTAAAAGCAGAATTTTTTTGAAGAATTTAAATCACCGACATTTTTTTTTATTTGCAAAATCGGACCGGGTCTTACCGAAAATTTCATCTGAATCGAAAAATAAAAACCGCAATAAAACTAATATATTATTTAATTACAGAAGCTTTTAATGGCCTTTATGAATAATATAGATTAAAGACAATATTTTATGGAGAAAAAGATTTGATGAAAAATTAATTTTTACAAGATTTGCTTTCATTTTTTTACAATTTAAAATTGTATAATTTATAAATTTTTTGAATTTTTTAAAGTTCAATTTCGATGAGATAATCCTGAGGGAATATTGTTATTAAGTAAATCTATATCCACTAATCATATAGTCTAGAGCTTATTACACTCTAAAGACCCCGACTATTTTTAAAAGAATTTCGATTTGTTTCTATATGTATATACATGCAACATTTCTGAAGTATGGGTGTATAAACCAATAAATCTATTCTTAAAAGGTCACATGTTTTAAGGAAAAAAAAAACTTAATGAAATTTATCGTATGTTACACCATACTTAACTATGAACACGTCAATCCGACGTCAATAAATCGATTAACACGCCATAAAAACAAGACTCCTTGGTTAGTAAATACATTTTATGCTATAAGTAATATTTATTTCAAATCAGATTAACTTTAAATTTGCTAATTTTCCTTAAATAACGTTTCAGAAATATATATTTGTTGTGGATTCCGGGTTGAAATCCGGTACCAATAAATAACAAACGCCAGGAATGAATATATGAAAATAATGTATTAACGTAATAATACAAACTGGTAAAGCAGGTTAGTAGTTCCAGGAATACGGGTTAGTAGCAAAATATATATACAGTCTTTGGTATTGAAGTATCGCTGTATGACTTCTTACTGAGTCGACATGCTCGCTCACTGTGACTCCTACAACGCTGTTACCTCACCCCTCACTCTTCCGGTTACCTACAACCTTTTACTCTGTCACTCTTGACTCCTCGGTCTTTCTCGCTCTTACTCTCGTCTCGCTCTTGCAGTAGTATATGTATATACTGGGTGAGTTCATTTGTATAAAAAGAGGGTGGACCCTCAACAATATTTTCTTTTTCCAAGGTTTTCAACAATCTTGGAAATATAAAATATATAAGGAAATTAAGTTTTGCTTACAAATGTCTTAAAAATGGCTGACGTTATCGATTTTAATAAAACAAAAATGCAACTCTATTCCAATCAATATAATTTCTGTCTGAAATACATCAAAGTATTTTGCTTACCGGATACAGTAAATTTAATCTTTTAGCTTTCATTTAAAGCTAAATTGAAAGTTTCAGGAACGCGTTTTAATTTTTAAAAATTCATTTTAAATCTTACGAATATCCAAATCGTAGAGGTACCGACCTTAATATAACGATTACAAACAGCTAAGACAGTTAATCGGTCCCATTTCAACAGAGCAACTTCCAAGGACAATCAAAAATGTGCTCAGTGACTAAAAATATACAACTCCAGGTTAATGCAATTTAAAAATATAACTATTTACATTGTTTGAACTGTTGTCCTCATCTTTGCTGCCATATTCAATATGTTTCGGTCATTATACGCTCCGGTATCTTCAGGATCTCTATATATTTTTGAGATGAGGTACTGTAATTATTTATATTGTTCGGACTGTTGTCCTTATCTTTGTTGCTATATTCACGACATTTAATCAATTCACCCTAAGCGCAAGGCGGAAATGCCACGAGTACGCGGGGTAGGGGGTGACAGGGATTAAAAATGAAAGAGAAGACTGAGTATACGGAGGACTGAGGAAAAGACAAAAAAAGATGAACTGGATTCAAGATGACAGGAAATAGCGATTGACGTTGCATTTTAATTTTTGTAGATTGTTGTTATCAGGGAAGCAATTAAACGCAGTTGTAATCATGATCCAATTCATCAGACCTACAAATTCAAAAAAAAATTTGAATTTGTATGTCTGATGAATTGGATCGTGATTATCATTCCAATGTAATAAGTTATAACCATGGAATATTAGTGTTTGATCTTATATATATATATATATATATATATATATATATGTGTGTGTGTGTGTGTGTGTGTGTGTGTGTGTGTGTGTGTATAATTAGCAATTCCGAGCCATTATTAATTACAGCAGCCGTTTATCCAACCTTACAGCACCTGGTATTCCCAAGCAGCCACCCATCTCGGTACTCACCAGCCTCCAAGTTGCTTAACTTTGATGATCGTACAGGAACTGGTGTTTGAATATGATAGAGTCGAGATGCTGAATATAACATCAGTCAGCTAAATGACAAACTTATTTTTATCAATATATATATATATATATATATATATATATATATATATATATATATAGAGAGAGAGAGAGACACACACACAGATGTGTGTGTGTGTGTGTGTGTGTGTGTGTGTGTGCGTATATGTATATTAAGGTGGCATTAGGGCACATCGGGGATAGCAAGCATGTCTCACTAGAACAATTACGACTGAGTAGTGAGTTCGATCCTCACTGGGTGCTCCATACTTTCGGCCTTGTGCCACATCTAAGCTATGCTTGGAAAATCACTATTAAGGCGGCATATTTTCATTCAAGCATGTTTGGATGACTGATACTGATATTTTATGTCTATTTATTTTATTTTAATCCTCTCAAATTCACGGATCAATTTTTTAGTGCTGTTATTAAACTTTTATTAAACTTGAATATATATATATATATATATATATATATATTTATGTATGTAATTATACAAAGAATTAATTAGCAATGTTAGTGGTATTAATGGCGAAATCACTTCGCTAACAAGACTTAATGAAACATGAACTTACTATCAGTTACCTCAATAACACGATCCCCTATTTTTGAAAGTATTCTACATACATAGATGTCTACTAAATTTCGATTCGCTTGTAGCAGAACTTCACGAAGGCGATGTACCATATTATAGGAGTAAACGGTATACAACATTTTCCAATAATAGTATAGTATACTGATCCTCTCTAATTGGGAGATGTTTCCATAAATGTGATTTATATAAAATTGTAGCATTTTCAATAAGAATTTTTCTTATGTGTTCTTGTAAATTGCGGGAGGATAGATGGTTTTTTTTTATAACGTTTGACCTAGAAAATTTATTTTCAGGGTGTTAGAAGCCGTCAGCCATTCATAAGTGCGTTGAGAAATATATTAACATAAAGACACATATATATATATATATACACGTACATACATATATATATATATATACACACACACATACGCATATATAACTACAAATTTACATATATATATACACGCACACATAGACATACATATATAAACATATATACGTATATAAAAGGAAAAAAAGCAAAAATGGACAATAAATTGACTGACTGAAAATAAAAGAAATAAAATGATTGAATATATGATATGAAATATCTAATATATAAAAATACCTAATATATATATATATATATATATATATATATATATATGTGTGTGTGTGTGTGTGTGTGTGTGTGTGTGTGTGTGTGTGTGTGTGTGTGTACATACATGCACACATTCATACATATACAATTATAGAAAGTGGAAATAATACAAAAAATTACAGTACCGGATTTATCTTCATATTTGTAGAAATCCAATATAAACATCTAAACATACATGCAACACATACACACGTCCATACATATACAAATCACATATTAACGTATTTCCTTGATGTATATCATATTGCTCTGTAATATATACATTGACCTCTCTTCGGATCTATCTTTCTAATATTTTATATTAAATAGAACCACTTGGATTATAATTTTCATTTACAGTATATTATCTCTATCTCTCTGTCTCTCTCTCTCTCTCTCTCTGTATATATATATATATATATATATATATATATATATATATATATATATATATATATATATATATGAGGCTTGAGGTAATCGGATGTCTAGGCATACTGATAAGCTGTGAAACAGCGTAAGTCTGTCTGTAGATAACACTATATACACATGATCTTGAAAAAATTATTTCGGTTGAGATCTTCGGGAAGAAAGTGAATTTGTAAACAGTGACTCTTACTGCTTCTGATGCAAGACTCTTCGTTAAGACGAATCGAGTTCTCCGGTCACTGGCGTGTTTGTCTAAAAATTAATACGTCTAAATTCACCTTCATCCCTGCCATCCCTTCACTATATATATATATATATATATATATATATATATATACTGAGTGTATTTTACTACAATTGTTCTAGAGAGAAGTACGATCTATTTCACACGTGTTTATTTTTATGCTTACATGTATCCTTCGATTCATATATATATATATATATATATATATATATATATATATATATATATTGGACTCTCCTGTCGGTTTTCCGACATATGAGGCTCATGCAATTCAGTTCCTAGCAACCGACAGCCAGGCACTAGCACATATGATTTGACTATAGTGGTGAAGGCTTTGTGCAGAAACAACCACATTTTTTGAAGGGCCGAATACAGAGACCTGGTCCACTACGTGCCACAAGGTCCCCATACGACCCTTCGCAGGTTTTAAATTCAGAGTTGTTCTTCTCCTAGACCAGTTGCCATCCAAGGCTATACAACCCAGTCTGTACTGCTATTTACACATAGCTGTGGGAAGAAGAAAAGGATTCATTCCTTTCCCAAGGGTATTAGAACGTAAGTGAATGTAATGGATATATGTCTCACACTTTTCACAGATCGTAGAGTTACTACAGTTGTTTTAGAGAGAAGTGCCGATCAATGCTTAAATAATACACTCATTTTTGTTTTTTTACGTGTTCTACAAAACTATTTTAGGTATGGAGAGTAATGATCTCCCACGCTCGGAAGGAGCCCAGCACCTAAACAAAGATGCTAATCTAGAATTAAGCTGAAAAGGGAACCACAAATCAGAAGGATTAAATTGGGTTATCGGGGTGGATATATTTAGAAAAGCAAGTTTGTTTTATAGCAAGAAATATCCACCGTCTTTCTTCCTCTTTTCAGCCCACGTCCATTCCTCTTATTACAGAGAACGAAATCACGAATTGTGACACGATCGACATGATCAGTAGGACTGACACCTTAGTAATGCTTGATATTATAGTTTTTTTTTCCAAGTCACGTTCTCCCTTCGCAACAAGTCATGGCAGAGATTTAAATCATTATTTAGTCAGCGGAGCCGTCTTGCGGAGGTTGTCATTGGCGCATATACAGGTGCAGCATTACACTATTTCCACACGCATTTCACAAACACTCCAGATTTAGTGTCGTTTCTTCTGTTCAGCATAGATGCCTTCTACTGGCTTCATAGATGTCTACTAAATTTAGCTTCGCTTGTCGCAGAACTGTACGAAGGCGACGTCCAGCAAGTCTTTTAAATGAGAAATGTTTGCCAACTTGACCCGAGATATCGAAACATTATCGCATCCTTTGTCTCTCGCTTGAAGACAGCTTTTGGTAAGTCTACGCTGGCCGCCTGCCTGTCTTTCCGGTGTGCAGTGTCCAATATACCAACGGAGTTGAGATTAAAACGCGCGCCACTCAATTTTCGAATAACGGCCACACTCTCTTAGTTCCTTTTATATAATGCAGGGCTCTATCCTTTGTCCTATTTTATTCTTAGTTTTCAATAACGACCTTCTTGATAGCATCAGTTCTCAAATTGGTATCTGTTATATATCGTACCTATGAACACTAATGGGTATATCCTAATCCTCATAAATACGTTGGACACTATTGCAAGTGGGCGGGGGTAATATACGAAGTAGTCTACCATTAGCAGTGGTTTACCTACTTCACATCGCTGGCGAGTATTGTATTTTGTTGATGTTATAAATATTACCATTTCATTTCCAACCTCCGTTTTGGTTATTCCTCATTCAGTAACCTTTTCTAGGTTACAACAGTATCTATGATGGCGACGCAACAATTTACTCCTGACACGACAGTAAGTCTGAGCATTTCGATGAGCTCAAAATGGCGGCTTGTCCAAAATAACGTTGTCAACTATGGCAAACAATATTTTGTTGATTTTAACGCCTCCATAACCAAACTGCTTTCTATTAATCACCTGAGAGACACCTTTCTGGCTTGCATCAGAATGTCTAATGCTAACCTCCTGGAGAGTGATTCGTTGTGCCTTTTCGGGCTAACGTTCTCGGCTGACATGAAATGGAAAGACGATAGGTTCGCTGCTAAGAAATTTGGTTCACTGCATCGTGCTAGATAATTTTTTTTCGCCAAAATCTATCTTACATATCTATAAGTCTAGCATTCGTACATACATTGATTATATATGGTCCGGTGTTCCTGCTTGGGGTGAATCCGATTAAAAAATTGAAACGGTAGATATATTGTTTAAAGTTCATCATTTACTTTTGAATCTGTTGGTGAAAAATATTATGGAACAGGAAAATTTTTATTAGAAACAAAGAAAAGAATACTGAACTGTTTTTTTTTATGGTTTCACCCCTAGCAAGATAATAAAGCCACTAAGACGTGGGGGTGGGGAGTTATAGAGAGTGAAAGTTGGTTGATTTTCTTTAGCGGAATATCAATCTCTATGGGTTACTTAATGCCTAAATCGAAATATTTTGAACACAGTTTTATGGCTTCAGTTACAGATAAAATGTATTGTTGGTCATTTTGCTATAAAATGTTTTGTTGGTAATTTTACTATAAGTATACATTGTTGGTAATTGTTTTTTTTTTAGTGTAAGCATTTCACCCCAAGCAAAGGCGGGAGTGCCACTAGCCCGCAAGGGCTTACAGGGAGTGAAAGTAAGAGTAAATAGGGGTGTTTGGGGAAAGGTTAAAGGGCGGGGATCAAAATCAATGTATCAGAATATGTTGATTGACATTACATTTAAATTTTTGAAGATTATAGTTATCAGGGAAGCAAGTAAGAGGATGAGAGTTCCACTGTCGGGAAGTGTGAGAGAAGAAGCTGTTGAAGTAGAAGTTACATTTAACTGTTTCGATAGTAAAAGGGTGGGACCGAGATGTCAACCTAGTAGCACGCTTAAATTCAGGGGCACAATATTTGTAGAAAAGACAGAGGGAAGTCACATCACGTCTGCGAGAAAGTAACTGAAATCGATATGCCGGGTCACGACCTATCATATTGCATATCCGTCTTTGTTTGAATATAAAAATCTATTGCTGGTATTTTTACTATACAATATACTTTTATAATGTTTCGTTTTTGTTGGTGGGAGGGGTTCACTATGTTCTACAAACTCCAGATCAGGATGAATCTGGAAATAATAGGGGTTAAGAGTTGGTCACGCGATCCTCAAAATCTCCAATCTCTCGATAATCTCTATCCACCTTGCTGCCGGATGTAATTTATCGCCATACCCAGAACGATGAGGATATGTAGGATAGATAATAATTGATTCTAGACTTGAAGTATGTGGTCGGGGAAGCATCCTCTTAGGAGTCGGTTCCAAAAAGTAATAGTTCTCGGGGAGTAGCTTACTGAGTGGATCTTCATTCTTGCTAAAAGAATATGAAAGAAATGAGGCTGATTTAACGCCGTGTACGCGGTATGGTAGGTCCTAGCTGCAAAGGCCTGAATTGGTGGAACTGTGGAATGTAACCTGTTTGATTATTTGCCATAGTAATAGCGATAAAGTAGTGAAAGACTTGCAACGTTTCGTCTGTAGGGGTTGAAATTAATTCCTCGCGGACAAAGACGCATAATCGCCTCTGAACTCTTTCAAGGCCGGCCAGAGCGGACCGGGCTACACTAGTCCAGATATGACACCAATACTTCATTCTTGGTCTGATTTAACTGTTATAAAGACAGACTATGCTAATAGGAATCGGTTATTTTCTGGAGTAACACAATGAAGCAACCATTCTTTCGGTATCTTTAGCAATGGTATGATTATAAGAGTTCCATTTTGTTGCAGTTTTGGGGGTATGTATGTACTAGTGAGTTAGCCCAAATGACTTGACTCACTTTATAGTCCACCAATAGAAGGTTAACCAATCAGAAGACGTAGAATATTCAATCCGTCGTGCATAAAGGCGGCCATTTTGTTTACTCTGTCCGAATGTCCAGTGCCAGCTTGTCAGACGAAGAGGAACAGAAGGAAGAACTACGCTCTGCTTACCTTACCGGGATATCCACTGTTAACCTGAACAACACTTCCCTACTGTCTTCTAAATATTCACTGCTAACCTCTGGATTCTATACTCAAAGACGACCGTCATCATGAACAACACATTTGTGGTCTGGAATGCGCTTTCGATGAAATAGTCGTTCTAGACAAGGAGTCTCATTGAGTTCTTGGCCGCTCTTCAGGACTAGAGCAAATTTATGGCCTGATCACTGGTGATTAAAATATACCAGCTTTGTCAAGGAGGCATTGAATGAGGCAAGCCAGTCTTTTTTCCCATTGAACTGTGACAACTCAGTCAGAGAAGAGAACAGACTCAGTTGATTCAGATATTTAGAGGGGTACCCATACACTGTGGTACCCTCTTTGAATATATTTACAAAAGATCTGATAATATTCTAAAGCAGATCGTTAAAACAAAGCATAAAGAGGACAGGATAGAGGAGAGCACCTTGGAGGACGCCAGCATTAATCTCATGTACTTCAAAGGATTAATAATGACCTTCAAGTCTTTCCTTGAAGATGCCTGATAGGAAAGACTTGATTACTGAAAAGATTCTTCTATCGATTCTATAGCTGATGAGTTAGTGTAACAATCCCCTATGTCATACCTTGTGAAAGGCCTTCGTGATATCTAAGGAGATCGCTCACGAGATGTGCTTATTATCAAACGTTTCCGTGCGAGATGTTAGTCAAGACATAAGCGGTGGATTTAGAGGAATGTAGGCTGTGGAGGAACGCTGCCTATATTGGAAATCTGCGTTTGCAATTTGGACGTTTTTTTTTTTGATGGAAGCAAATCAATATTGGTAATCCTTCTTTTCTTTGGCTGAGATGATGTTATGGAGGAGGCATGCCTATATCGTAAGTCAACCTTTGATTTCTGCGGAGTTGGATTTATGGAGGAAGCTAGCTTCTCTTGAAAATAACCTTTTCGATGGCGTGAGAGTCCGCTATAGAAGAAGCAGGCCTATATTGCAAATAAACCCTTTCTGCTGAGGGAGGTCTGCCTATACTGGAAATCAGCCTTTTCGATAGAGGGATTTTGCTGTGGTGAAGCATGCCTATATTGCGGAAGTCGGAAACGCATGTATTGGAAAACATCCTTTAATGCGCTGGGGTATTGTTTTGTGGAAAAAGGTTTTCTAGATGGGAAATCAATTTTTACTTTCGAGGGAGACTGTGATGAAAGCCTCCCTGTTTTGAAAATCAGCTTATAATCTTGAAGGTGGGTGTTATGGATGAATCTTAAAATTTTTACTTTAAATGGATATTGTATTGTTCATGTAGTTTGCCTATATTGCAACCTTTTCTTTCGACCGATATTGTTTTGTGGGAAAGGCTTGCCTCTTTTGAAGATCTAACTTTACTTGGGCTTCGGCATATGGCACTAATGCCAATAAGCAATCAAAAGTTAGTTCAACCGTCAAACACATATTCCTCTTTTTGCTAGCGTAAAATAACAAGAAAGAAACATCTTATAACCTAGGCTATGAAGACCCCACTTTGGCATTAAATAAATACGATGTGGAAGCCGTTAATATAGACAGACAGACAAACAAACGGTGGGAAGTCTTCAACTGTGGCAGCAGGTGTAACAATAGGGAAAAAGGTGAGTGGGTGCAGGTAAACAACAGCAACGGGAGCAGCACTTATAAGCAGTCAGGTTAGGTTTAAGACTCCAATTTATCTCTAGAAAATTGTACTACGAGACAATAGCCTAGTGGATTAAAGCATTTGTTCGTAAATTTGGTGTCATATTAATTGCGAGTTCAATCTCTGGCCCGGGAGGTGTGGATTTGAACTCAGTATTACGATGGTAATCAATAGCTGAGCAGTACTAAAAATAAGAACAGTTTACCCCCGTAGATTAAATAAAGGGTTCAATTCAGCATTCACCTGTAGATTAATCGGATACCCATTTGCAGAAGGCCGGAGGGCACAACGGTCGAGCCGAAACGTTGTGACAACAATAAAGATTCGGAAAATTTTCCGAATGTAAATAATGTAATAGTTTTAAAATCATTAGTGAAGTCTTTAATCTCTCATATTAATTTCTAATCTTTTTCCGACGTCAGCCAAACGAAAGTGGACCATATACAATTGGTTAAATTTCCAATTCTCTATTTTCAAACCAAAGAAAATTTTTTTGAAGATGCTTGCAAGATATTTATTTCCCCTAGCATAATGCTGTCAGTCTCTCCGAGTATAATGTTCAAAAGCTGTATATATCCAGCGCTGCGCAAAAGTAAATGATTTTTTATTCAACTGGAATAAAAATATTAATTAAAAATTAAGAAGTGAACACTTACATTTACACTCTGTATTTTTGTTTTTACATGGTTGTCAATGCAAAAAAAGTTTTGTGCACGTGTAAAAATCAAAATGACACGTATTGATTTATTTTCTTTTGTAAACTGGGAAAGTAGTACGCATTGACGGCACAATGGACTCTGCAAGATATCAAGCAATTTTGAACGAAAATGTCTTGCCCTCGGTTCGAAAGCTGGGTTTAGTTCGGGGCTGGGTCTTCCAACAAGACAATGATCAAAACAAATGGGCAAAAGAATGGGTTCGAAAAAAAGGAAAGTTTTGGAATGCCCAAGTCAAATTCCTGAACTAAACCGAATTTAAAATCTGCGGTTCTAGTTAGAGAACCACATGCATGAAACACAGACACAGACACAGGTAATATCTTTAAACTACAAACATTTAAATGCAATTTCAATCGCTATCTACTGTCCTCCTGATTATTCTTTTGTCTTTCTGCTCATTATTAATGTTTCTGTTCCTAATTGTTCCACAACCTGTAATTCCTTGTGTCTTAGTGACTTTACTGCCTTGCATGGGGTGATACCTATTAAAAATATCGATCAGTTATAGGAGCTTTTCCAAGAAGACGAAACTGACGTTCCCAATAGCCAGAAACTTGTTACAAATAAGAGAAAAAAATGGGTCGATGTCGTGACTTCAAGATGAGGAGTCATCAAATATTAAATATAAGAGTTGACTTACTTGTGCAAATCTTAATTATTAATTAATATTTTTATTCCAGCTTGATAATTATTAAAGTAGTTCTAATTCGTTTAATAAAGATTTTTCTTAATGAATATATAGGTTAATTTAGATTTGTCTGTAAAAAGAGACGATTTTTTAAAATAATTATTTTATCTCACTTTTGCGCAGCATAGGATATATATATATATATATTAGCATACGTAGTAAGTAAATATATATATATATATATATATATATATATATATATATATATATATATTAGCATACACACACATATATATATATATATATAGTTAAATTACCATCTGGGAATTTAACTATATTGTGGACAAGGAAAAATAATAATAATAATAATAATCATCCCTTACTATAAAGGTAATTTACATTAACCAGAAAAAAAGGCTGCGACAGAAGCGTCTATCTTTTTAAATTTGGATTTTTAATGTAACTATAACAACAAAAACATTTCGATTTCATTTTTGCCTTGAAAAAGTTGGAAGACGAAACGCGTCGGCAAAATGTAAGATTTTTTTCCAACTGTCATTTGATACCCATTATATATATATATATATATATATATATATGTAAGCAGACGCAGTAAATGTCTTCATTACAAGTGTCGTGATCTTATTGTGGCACGTGCTTTGTCAGTCGTTGTCATTCTGCTTCTAATTGACTCTAATATTTGCAGTAAACTACGTTTTTCACTCCTCGCAATGTGTTGATATGTTCCTGACACACAAAAGCCAGTAGTAGTACTTCTCTTTCTAGGCTTGGTAACACAACACCTTCATCCATTGTCTCCTGCTCATAAAAGTTTTCTCAGCGCAATGATAAGATATCTGCATCAACGCTAATCGTCTTTCTATATTCTAAAATTATTTGTTAAGGGATTTACCTATCTATCAATCTATTTTTTTTTCATTATCTATCTATCTATCTATCTATCTATCTATCTATCTTTCGGTTCTTATCTATCTATCTATCTATCTATCTATCTATCTATCTATCTATCTATCTATCTATCTCATTCTATTAATGTCTCTATATCATTATCTATCTATCTATCTAATTCTATTTATATCTCTTTATCATTATCTATCTATCTATTTATCTATCTATCTATCTCTTTCTGTTCATATCTATCTATCTATCTATCTATCTATCTATCTATCTATCTATCTATTTCATTCTATTAATATATCTATCTATCTATCTATCTATCTATCTATCATTCTATTTATATCTCTATAGTATCTATCTATCTATCTATCTATCTCTTTCTGTTCTTATCTATCTATCTATCTATCTGTCTATCTATCTATCTCATTCTATTTATATCTCTATATCATTATCTATCAATCTATCTATCTATCTATCTATCTATCTCTTTCTGTTCATATCTATCTATCTATTTCATTCTATCTATCTATCTATCCCATTCTATTTATATCTCTATAGTATTATCTATCTATCTATCTATCTATTTGATTCTATTGATATCTCTATATCATTATCGATCAATCTATCTAATTCTATTTATATCTCTTTATCATTATCTATCTATCTATCTATCTATCTCTGTTCATATCTATCTATCTATCTATCTATCTATCTATCTATCTATCTATCTATCTGCCTGCCTGCCTGTCCATGTATCTATCTTACATTATAGTCTCATGCCTTTCCTAAAATAATCAACAGAATGTTAGGCGGAAACAATTGTTGATCCAATTAAACTAGCCGATTAGTCGGCTGAACGTTTTGCCATTACAAGTCATGTAACTATCTATGCAGATCACCCACCCCGCAATCTTAAAATGATTCCAGACCAAAATTCGCGTGAAGAGAAAATAATAATTCAAAATACACTTGTTTTTATTTACTTTTTATAAATTAAACCGAAAAATGCAAAACCAAATGACGTAATGTTTTGTTTTAAATTATTTTTAATAAAGTAAATCGTAATGTAATTTAATTTTAAAAAAACTAAATCGAAATTCTTATTTTTATGTCAATTTACTTTATTTAAAATAAACTTCTTTGCGATTTACTATATTAAAAATAATTACCCCCTTAACCTGCAAAAAAAACTGATTCATATTTTGCATAAAGCCTTTTCAAAAGCCTTATTTGAAAAAAAAAATCACTAATTAAGGTTTTAATCCTTAATAAATTACTTTTATTCGATTATGTTTTTCAGGTGCTGAATTGTCTCGGTCCTGAATTGTCTCAGTCCTGAGTTGAGTCGGCGGTGTTGAGTTCAAAGTATTGAGTTCAAGGTGTTGAATTGTCCTGCAACCCGGTTCAAATGTGATGAATCTAACAGAGTCAAATAGCGCACCTTGTGAAAAAAAGAAATCTTCAGAAAGGTTTGAGACAGAAACTAATTATGCGTGGCGTTGAAGGTGATTTCGATTTTGCATGGCGAAGTCTGGAACGAGAAGATTCGCGATATGCCGACGCCAACACAACGCATAACGTCAACTCGAGAGGACTATTTTCACTATTAAAATCCTCGTTTATCGTTGATTTTTTTTACATCACAATGCTTTCTTCAGTCAAATACCACCACCCCCACCCCCACCCCCGGCAATTGTCAAAACTGATAAGTTTTCCAGAGTTTCTAATGGAACCGGTACGGATCAAGTCATATAACCCCATGAAAGGTAGTAAAGCCACTAAGACGCAAAGGGTTACTGAGTAGAGTAGAGTAATCTAGAAGACAATAGATAATGGCATTTAAATTAAGATCAAAGTTGGCCTGAAAGCATGAAGCCAGAAGAGAGTTCCACAAGCAAGAAGTGCGAGAGAAGAAACTATTAGCATAGAACTTACGGTTACATCTATCCAAACAATTTCCATGAAAGTATTTATAGAAAATGCACGGGGTAGTTACGTTACGGCTGTGGGAAAGTGATTGAAGCCGAGATGCCATCTCAGGACCAATAATATTGCTGATTCTTCATTGGATTTTATCAAGAATCTCTAAATATAAGACAGGAACTCCGAACCATATGTGGCCGCATTATTTAAAGCTTAGACGAATGCAATCGCATGCAGTTGACCATTTAGTTCTTTCTGAAAGGTCTGGGTGCCAGGCATGACTTCCATATAAAAGGCTATATCGGACAAGGTTATTTAAGAACATGACTTGTTTTCATAGAGGAATATTTTGATAAACTCCAAGAAGACAGAATGCATTTTTGTTAGCAAAAGGATGAGCCCAAAACACAAATTACAAATCAGAGAGACCAAAATCAAACACGTTTTAATATCTGGAAAGTGTTTTAACAGTGGACGAAAATTGCGACACTGAAATCCGAAGACGCATTGGGATGGCTAAAGACGCCTTCCAAAAGCTAAACTGAGTATTAAGAGACAGAAAAACTTCGTTAGAAACAAAGAAAAGAGCACTGAACTGTTGCGTGATATCTCTTTTCCTATGTGTTATAGCATACCTACGGACGATAATGGTTATGTCGCCAGTCACATAAATACAGTAGTAAATACTGTATGTTGGTTTGCAGTTAGAGATTCGTCTCCAGCTGTGCTGGTCTAATTCTCTGCCCCCGGGCACAGAGGATCCCTAGACAAGGTTATGTCGAAGGGCAGAGTCTCGTCTCGGGAAACAGCTACCCGACCCCATTTTATACGGGGTATACGGGGAATTTTTGACCGAGCCCACGGGCTCGGATATCCCACATTAAATTCGGCCTTGTGCCACATCTGACTGCGTGGAGTCGTTGGTAGATATCCTGCAGTTGGAGATTCGTCTCCAGATGTGCTGATCAAACACTCTGCCTCCGGACAGAGAGGATCCCCAGACGAGGTTATTTCGAAGGGTAGAGTCCTCACCGCGATGGTAGATATCCTGTAGTTTGAGATTTGATTCCAGCTATGCTGGTCAAGCCCTCTGCCTCCGGACAGAGAGGATCCCCAGACGAGGCTATGTCGAAGGGAATCGTCTCATCTCTGGAAATAGCTACCCAACCCCGTTTTATACGGGGTCTACGGGGAATTTTTGGCCGAGCCCACGGGCTCGAATACCCCATATGACTGCGTGGAGATGTTGGTAGATATCCTGCAGTTATGTGTAATTCACTTGACTTACTTCTAGCAGTTGACTACTTCTACGCGCCGCTGGCGAATCTTATATGTGTTGTTCTTGTCCTAAGTATTATCGTTCATTACCAACCTTCGTGTGATTATTCTATTCAGTAACCTTCCCTAGGTTACAACAATAGGACAGGGAATGTTGGCCAATTTCCTCAAAGATGATGAAGAGACTTGAAACAACATAAATTAAGGATGCAGAGGATACAATAGACCAAACATGTGAGCAAAGATGAACTTTTACTTAACATCTGGAAGAGACAGTTGAAATATCTGGGGCACATACTGAGGAAGGAAGGTTTTGGAAATTATACTAACAGGACCGATTAAGAGGAAAGAAGAACTGAGGAAAACAATGCGTAACATACTTTATGAGCTTCAGTGTCTATCTACACGTATTTACGTATGATGACAAAAATAAAAAGGATTGTAAGACAAGGGTGTGTCTTCTCGCCGGACTTTTGCAGCCGAAACAGTGAGACAATTCAGGATTCATTATTAGCGGCAATAATCTTAACATAAGATATGCAGATGACACAGTGTTGATAGCAAATGATAGTGAAGAAAAACAAAGTGAAAGGATTAAACCTTAATTGCAAGAAGATAGAATATATAGTTGTTAGCAAAAGGAGGAGACCAACATGCAAATTAGAAACTGGAGATGCCAAAATCAAACAAGTACAGCAGTTTAAATATGTGGGAAGTGTTTTAACAGAGGACAGAAAGTGCAACACTGAAATCTGAAGGCGCATTGGAAAAGCGAAATATGTCTTCCAAAAGCTAAGCAAAGTATTAAGTAACAGAAAAAAATGAACTGTTATGTAATATGAGTCCTCCTATGTGGCAGTGAATGCTGGACAATCTTCTCGCAGAAGAATGCCGATATTTGAAACAAAAAATATGTGATTTTACATAAGGATGTTGAGGATACCATAAGCTGAACATGTGAGCAACGAGGGAGTTTTGGAGGAAATGGAAACTAAAAGGAAACTTGTACTTTAACATCAGGAAGAGACGTGGCACGTAATGAGGAAGAAAGGTTTGGAAAATGTGATACTCATTGAACAGATTGAGAAGAGGGTGAACTACAGACAACAATGCGAGTGGCGGATCAAGATTTACGAGAGAAAACGAAAAGCCAAAATTTATTAGGAGCTACAAAGGACAGGAAAGTGTGGAGAAGAGTCAGTTAGAAGAAGGATAATAAAAAAGAATAAGTTCTGAAGGAATACGGAAAAAAGATTAAAAAAGAAAGAAGAAGAAGAGAAGAAGAAGAAGAAGAAGAAGAAGAAGAAGGATAAGAAAAAAGAATAAGAAAAAATATTAAGAAGAAGAAGAAGAAGAAGAAAAGAAGAAGAAGAAGAAGAAGAAGAAGAAGAAGAAGAAGAAGAAGAAGAAGAAGAAGAAGAAGAAGAAGAAGAAGAAGAAGAAGAAGAAGAAGAAGAAGAAGAAGAAGAAGAAGAAGAAGAAGAAGAAGAAGAAGAAGAAGAAGAAGAAGAAGAAGAAGAAGAAGAAGAAGAAGAAGAAGAAGAAGAAGAAGAAGAAGAAGAAGAAGAAGAAGAAGAAGAAGAAGAAGAAGAAGAAGAAGAAGAAGAAGAAGAAGAAGAAGAAGAAGAAGAAGAAGAAGAAGAAGAAGAAGAAGAAGAAGAAGAAGAAGAAGAAGAAGAAGAAGAAGAAGAAGAAGAAGAAGAAGAAGAAGAAGAAGAAGAAGAAGAAGAAGAAGAAGAAGAAGAAGAAGAAGAAGAAGAAGAAGAAGAAGAAGAAGAAGAAGAAGAAGAAGAAGAAGAAGAAGAAGAAGAAGAAGAAGAAGAAGAAGAAGAAGAAGAAGAAGAAGAAGAAGAAGAAGAAGAAGAAGAAGAAGAAGAAGAAGAAGAAGAAGAAGAAGAAGAAGAAGAAGAAGAAGAAGAAGAAGAAGAAGAAGAAGAAGAAGAAGAAGAAGAAGAAGAAGAAGAAGAAGAAGAAGAAGAAGAAGAAGAAGAAGAAGAAGAAGAAGAAGAAGAAGAAGAAGAAGAAGAAGAAGAAGAAGAAGAAGAAGAAGAAGAAGAAGAAGAAGAAGAAGAAGAAGAAGAAGAAGAAGAAGAAGAAGAAGAAGAAGAAGAAGAAGAAGAAGAAGAAGAAGAAGAAGAAGAAGAAGAAGAAGAAGAAGAAGAAGAAGAAGAAGAAGAAGAAGAAGAAGAAGAAGAAGAAGAAGAAGAAGAAGAAGAAGAAGAAGAAGAAGAAGAAGAAGAAGAAGAAGAAGAAGAAGAAGAAGAAGAAGAAGAAGAAGAAGAAGAAGAAGAAGAAGAAGAAGAAGAAGAAGAAGAAGAAGAAGAAGAAGAAGAAGAAGAAGAAGAAGAAGAAGAAGAAGAAGAAGAAGAAGAAGAAGAAGAAGAAGAAGAAGAAGAAGAAGAAGAAGAAGAAGAAGAAGAAGAAGAAGAAGAAGAAGAAGAAGAAGAAGAAGAAGAAGAAGAAGAAGAAGAAGAAGAAGAAGAAGAAGAAGAAGAAGAAGAAGAAGAAGAAGAAGAAGAAGAAGAAGAAGAAGAAGAAGAAGAAGAAGAAGAAGAAGAAGAAGAAGAAGAAGAAGAAGAAGAAGAAGAAGAAG